ACTTAGCATAAGTGACTATGTAAAATAATTATATCTATGGTAGTAGAACAGTTCGACTAAACATACAGTACAAGTTTAATTCCTAGATTCGCGACTACCCAAAACTAGGGATTTCCCCACTACCCTAGTTCCTTTACCTTAATCACTAATCGCTAGTTACAATTATATTCTGTGTCCCAAAATTCACACAAGATTTAAATTCTGCGTCATTTATGCAGTAAAGTGTTGCCAATGACAAAAAAGGACAGCGTGACGGATGACACTTTAAGGTTATGAAAAATGGCGTTACACGAAAGAATAATGCGTCTCCATTGTTGAACAATATTTACAATCTTTAATTAAAAACCTGGATATCAAAATTACTTTGGAACACTCAATAATTGTAACAATGTATATACCATAAAAGCTTCACGATTTCTAACCTCCAAACTTCCCCAAAGGAAAAATAATATAAAATAAAATGAAAAGAAAAATACGTAGGATAAATACGTAAATAATTAAGGAGATTTCGAGTGGAACAGACTTCCTCTGGGTTCTCCGATGAACGATTTGGCCCTCGACAAGCTGATGTAAATTAAAGCTGGATCACGCGTGCAGGGGCGGAAACGTTAGCGGTATCGCGGGCCCCACGAGACTGGGGCGTCTCGTGGGCGTCGGTGTCGGGCAAAAAACGTCAAACTCCGGGATGCACACGGTGTTCACTCTCCCCCGGGAGCTCTTATCGAACGATTTAACCGGCTCGTTTACACGTGATCCATACACGTAACGCAGAAACGAAGAACAGACGATTTATTCAAAGGTTCGCGTGACTCGAAACTTCGACTTCGGAAGGCAATAACCTTCGACGACTTCATTCTCCTGGTTTCCGTAAAACCGAGCTATTTTCGAAGTAAATGCACGTGCTGGGAATCCAAATACGCCACCCCGAGGGTAGTTCGTGGACTTACGGATCGAGTGGTATCGTAACACTTTGGACTAGATTGGTTAATTTTAAACCACTGGAAATAAAACTATTACGATAAAAACGAGTGTGATGTAGCAACGGATTAATTTAAAAGTGAAATAAAATAGATATTTCTAATAATAAATAACGATAAACGAAATCTAAGTAACGATAAAATCTATCTAACCGAAAATTTATAAAATATTTTGAGAAGATATAAATACAGGATACATTTGCATAGATATAACCCTATCCTTACTAATATTCCAACCAGAAACAGAGGCAAACAACTTAACCATTATTTCCTGTAACATAACCTCAATTCTAACACCTACCATGTTATTATAACAAAAGTAAGTACGATATAGTAACAGATTACTTTAAAATTAAAGTAAAATAGATACTTATAATAAAATTAACGAAGAATAAACAACGATAGATAAAACCTAAGTAAATCCATTCAGCAGAGAAGTAACAAAATATAAATGCATATTCCAATCATATACATACAACTCTAACCTCACTAATATTCCCACCAGGAGGAGCCACGCGAACAATTTATTCATTACTTCTCCCAACATAACCTACAAATCAATTCAACGCGTTCAACGCAACATTTTACTCGATCTATCTGAAATTTCGAATACACAAAGAAAAAAAATCTCTAAATTCCGCTTGCACCCAGCAGTGTTAACGAAAATCTATTCACAGCGGTCCAACGAGCGTCGGAAACCAAAAAAATTCGCCAATATTTCAATCCCCCGGGGAGAGAATATATTAGCCATGCCTAGATGCCTAGAGAATATATTCCGGTACCCCTTGGCAGCGGCCACGCGTGTCGCCGAAGAGAAAGATATTCGAGAGCGCGGATGGAATTGCGTGGAACAAAAGAGGTGCAGATAACGAGCAGACGGCGCCGCCAGAAATCTCGCGATCAGCATCTTTTTCTCTTATCGTCCCTTCGCGTTCCTATGGTCCGTGCGCACGTTTGGATACCGGACACCGGTCACAGACAACGCAGCCAACGTTTTTCTGCTGATCGACAGCAACATCGAAACGAAAACGAAGACAGAAGACAGATAGATAGGCAGATAGGGAAAAGCCATGAAGATTCTTCTTGGCCACTCGCGAGAGAACAAGGTCAACGATTATGCGTTTTCATAGACGTACCCCTGTACTCCACGCGCGCGATCTTCGTCCCGTCATCTTGGTCGCGCAGGGTAGCCAACTTTATCTGACAAAGAGACTAGGAGGCAGCGCGAAACGTAAACAAGCGTATAGATTGCGCCGCTTAGACAAGCAATTCTTATCGCTACGCAGCGTTGCGCGCCTCTTTCTTTCCTTTTTTTCTTCGCCGTATAGTTTCGGTACGAGCACGTGTGACTCATTAATTCCCCGAAATGTCCTAGCTCCGCTCTCGTATTTTCGTTTCGCTCGAATTTATCGTCGCGGCTCCATCATTGAACTTGCATTCCAATGACCGAGTCGTCACGCCGAGCAGCTGAATCTCGCGAAGGTTTTTCTTTGGAAAAATTCCATATGCCTGCTAGAAAATATTACGTCGATGACGACAGATAATTTTGAGAAATTATCCGTCGACCTATCTCATCGATATATAACGGATGAATTGGTTGACATCCTAACTCGAGCAGAGTTACGCGTTTTGCGAATTTACTCTCAAAAACGGTGACAGGAAAATCAAGCAGTCGACCAGGGTCTTCCTCTTGGTCTAAGTCAGAGAGTACTTTATTAATTGAGCCATCCGAGCAATCAAACGAATGTTTCCACTCAGCCTAACATCCAAAGACGCCTGCCGCCAGCGTATTAACTCGCAGAAACACACCGGCCGAGATTTTATTAAGGTTAAGTAGAATTACGGTATCCATGGTGCGACGCACCCCCAATTGCGAAAGCGCGACAACGTTCGAGTCGATGTTCGAGCCCACGTTTAAACCGTTCAGGGCCGACTGGATATTCCTCATCGAGAGGGTGTACAACGAATTACGTATGGGGAAAGCATGGGAGGGTGATATGGATGCTTTGTAGGATTTCCTGTAATTAATATGCCGCGAATGATGCCATGCGTGTCCACGATACCCCCAAAGCCATCGGATAGGACTATAGGATCCACCACCGCGCCACCGTCTTCGTCTCCCTTGCTCTCACGCGCCATCCCTCTTCGGCCACCTCTCCGTCTACCTTTCCGTTTCTCTCTGACCTTCTGTCTCCGTTCATGGGAATACACAGAAGCCATAAGAAATTCGATACGTTCCCCGTGGCGTGACACGGCTGTGTACTGGACTGGGCCTCGCCACGGTGGTGCTTCCCACTTCCTCCCTCGCGAAATTCTCCACGAGGAGAAACGCCGTCTATCCTCTGGCCACGATTCGCATCGATGGATTCACCGAAATCAACGGAATCGCTGCTTTTTTTCGCGTATTTATAGCATCCGACGCGTCGTCCGCTCCAACAGCCATCGACGAGTTCGCCAGGCTGGTAGTTACTCACTATGAATCTTCCACACGGACCGGAAGTGGACGATTCCTCGACCTAACAGGCTCGTCTAAGCGCATATATTTTTTTCCCCCTGTCCGTACGCACGTGCAAATGAAAAATGGAATAGGATGCTGCTAATTTAAAAGCTCCTTAAACGAGAAAACCGAGAGTACCTAGAAGAAGTACCTGGGTTCTCGTTATCCATTACGATACGATGGAAATAGAGACTCGCACGGGGCCTGTGTGTACGTATACACAGAGCCAGTAAGAAGCGAACGCACATTGCCGTGCGATTTCAAGGGAACATATTATAACGGTACCTAAATTGTTTCGAGCAGTCGAGAATTTTAACTCTTTCCGGTGCAGAGCAAAATGGCGGTAATGAGGATCCAACGATTAAGCGGTTCGACAGATCGTGTTACGTCTCGAACGAGGTGTTCATTTCGGATCGAAAATTACAGAGCTCCAACGCGAACAAAACGAAAAATTCCACCGTGTGCTTAAATTCGAGAGAAGTTTAGAACGATGTAGGGAAAACGGGAGCGTACGTAACCTAACCTATACGTACTTTGCGTCTTCGACGAAGCGAGAAACTCCGACGTTCGTGTGCTCAAATTCGGGGAGAGTTTAGGAAGAATTAGAGGAAATTGAAACGAACATAACCTAACCTAGTACCTTCGATGAATATCGATATGCTATTCGAGTAAATTATAAAGACGCAGAAGCGTAGATCTGACAAAAAGCGACGGATCACGCGACGCGAGAGAAATGCATCGCTAACGTTACGTAGTTATGAGGCCGTCTTCGAGATTGCTCGGTCGTTTCTAAAATCGGATATAGAGCAACGACCTTCCAAACAACACGAAACTCCTACGCTTGCGCCCTCCACGGATTCCACGGATATCAACTCGGCCACCGTCGATTAACTCTTCGAACAAGGCCATCCGCGAAAAAATATATAGGAAAATATATGCGCACGACGAAAAGCGAAGCACCGGAATATTATTCTAGCCACGCTTATATCATCATCGGCATTTATCACGCGTTTCCTCTCTTTCCCGCTTCGAAACGAGCAGACGCGCGTCTGCCATGTCGCGGTATTTGGTTATCGGAAAAAGTTTATGTACGCGACGGATACCTCTTATTATAAGTTAATTTATGCATTCCTCGCGTGCAGCAGGA